CCCCAGCAGCGCAGCCAGGCCACGCCCCTCCGGCCCCCGGCCCCCCACCTCCCCGCCCCGGGGCGGGTCAAGGCAAAAGCCCTCCCCGGGGACCCTGGCCACCCAGGCGCTGCGACTGCCAGCGCGTTCCCAGAAGCAGGGGTCCACCCCCACTGGGTCCCGTCCCTCCCACCCCACCGCCGGGGCCCAGGGGTGCCGAGGGAGGGAGGGAGGGCACGCTCCGGTTCGTCCCCCGGAGCCTGGGACTCCGGTGGCCAGGCTCCTGTTCTCAAGGAACCCTGACCCCGCCTGCCCTGCCCTCGCTAGCAATCTCGGCACAAAGAGTCAGCCCAAGGTCCCGGGGACCCAGGCGAGCAGAAGACCCCTCCCCAAACCTGACGCCCTTCAGTCAACTCACGAACCGCGGGGGCCCGGGGGAGGGGGTGCAGTGGAGCCCGGCGTCGGGAAAGAGGGGGAGAGAGGAAGAGGAGGAGAGAGGGAGTCGGGGAGATCCGGAGATGGGAGGGAGGGGAGGAGGAGGAGGAGGAGGAGGGGGGAGGCGGGGCTGCGCGGCCATTTTGAGTCTGCAGTGGGAAGGAAAGATGGTGACCTTTACCTGGATGAGGGGGGGCCTGAAACTTCAAGGAGCCATTAGAGACGGAGGGGATAAGGGAGGCCGAGTGGGCGGCTCGTCCTGGCTGGGGGCTGAGAGGGTTAGAAGAAGCAACGGGGGGTTTAGTGGCAGGCGGTGCGGGGACGTTAGGGCTGTCACCACTGGAGGAGGGCAGAGGACCGCTTTTCCCAGAGCTGGGAGAAAGGGCTGGAATCTTAGAGGCAGGTAAGGAGGGGGAAGTAGGTTTACAGTCCCCACCAGCTTTCTTAGCACTTCCATTAGCCTGTGAATAAAGATGGTGGGAGACAGTTTGTCAGAAAGCTGGTCACGTGATCCAATCCGCGGGGCCTGGCAACACAGCCCATCTGAGAGAGAAGTTAAAGGAAAACTCTCCCTCTCTCTGAGAGACAGGGCAAGGTCTGAGCTCAAGTCTTGGGGTGCTGTACCGCACCTGGACCTGTAGCACGCAGCAGAAGGATCAGGGCACTGGACTCGCATCTGTACTGAGTGCTGGGCAGCCGGCCAGGCTTCGGGATTGTTACTGGGGGTCGGGGGGGTGGGCGAGGGGTGTGAGGGGCAGGTCGAGGAGGGTACCAGGGAGCAGTCCACAGTCTACGTTAGGATCCGTGGCTCTAAGGGCAGTTCGGCTGCAGGCTCTCTGTGTGGCCGTGGCCCGAGTGCCTCTCTGGCACGCACCACTACATTCACCAGGGCAAGCCCCCTGGGCGGATGCTGAGCGACAGAGTCCCAGAGGAGAAGGTGCTCTACGGCAAAGCATGCACCAGGCGCGGTGGGGGCTTTCCACAGGCCTTCCTCCATGCCCCCGGTCCAGGGTGCCTGCTCAGATCGTTCGTTTCCCAAGGAAAACCGAGCGAAAGCAGAGACCCACAAAAAAGACGACCCCAAACACGAACGCATTCGATGTACACTAAGGCAGCCCCTTCCTTGCTTCTTAACAGCAAGACTGTTCATGGCGATCCGCAAAGTGGGTTTAGGGTAAAACTACCTGACGGTACTGGCGGGGATCCTGCAGTTTGGACGGTTTGCTGGGCTTGTCCATGCTTCCCGGTCTGCTCTTGCAGCTCATGGGCACGGGCATCCTGCTTGCCTGCGTGGTCCCACTGGAGCCCTGCGGGGAGCCAGAGCAGAGGCGGGGGGAGAGAAGGCAGAGCGTGAGGACCGGGCGCGAGGCTGGCCCCATGAGTGTACAGAGCAGCAAGGAGTGAGAAGCCCCAGACCCACATGCAGCAGAGGCCCAGCAGGTGGACATCAGGAGACACCAGGGGAGAATTCCAAGAATCACACAGAATCCACAACCCGCTTCCCCCCTTACTGATCAGACAGGTTTTAATGTGGGTAGGGACCAGGGCAATCACTTCACACAACAAATGGTTGACCCCGCGTTTGCCCAACACCAGTCAGCAACAGAGACTTGATTAGCGGTTAGACACCGGGGGTCGGGGGCGTGTTTCGAAGGCGAGGGGGGGTTGGAGTGTGAGAGAGGCGTCAAGGGGAGCAGACACGACACAAAACCGAGCCACCTGAAAGGAAGCGCGTCCATCGCGAGACCCCGTGGGACACAGGTGATTACGGCAGACTTAGGGAAGCGGTCCAGTCTTCACTTTGCAGCGGACCAAGGTACCTTACGTGAAGCCGCAGGGGGAGCCGTGGGGGGTTCTGGGGTGCTGGAAGCCTCATCCAGGGTGGGTGCGCTGTGGGGAGAGGCCTCTTGGACCAGGTGAGATGAGCCGGCAGCGGAAGCTCTGTCGGGAGGATGTGGGGTGTCCACGAGAGCTTGGGGGCTCATCTCGCTGATGGTGTTTTCCAGCTGCTTAATGGTCTGCTCCAGGCTGTCCAACGTCTTGTAGGTGCTTTTCCGAATATCATCCGTCCGGGAGGGCTGCCATGGGCTCTCGGCGAGAGCCGGCTGCTCTTCTCTTCTAGCGGGCGCTCTGGGAGGTTCCCCAGGCTGAGGCCTTGCGATCTCGAACCGCGTGGCTTCCTTGTGCTGCTTCAAGGCCCCATCCTCTTCCTCCTCTTCGTAGACCACCACCTGCAGGGTCTTCCTCCCTGTCCGCGTGCCCGTGCGGATGGCCTGGGTGAGGGCGGCCAGCTGCTTTTTCGGGAAGCGGAACTTGAACTTTTTCTTGGGGCTCTCTGGGTGCTCCTCCGTGAGGTCCCACTTGCCCGCGGAGGCTGGGGCATCGGCCTGCCCCCGTTGGCCGAGATCAGGCCCGCCAGCCTCCTGCCCCTCTGACCTGCTGGTTTCGGTGGGCTGGGAGGCTGGCTTCCACGTGCCCTCGGTCTCCTGCCTCGGTCTCAGGCTGGCCTCGGCCACCGGCTCCGGACACACCTGCGGAGGGTTATGCCAGGCGGCGGCAGGGTCTCCGCCCTCCTCCTCTTCCTCTTCCTCGATCTTGTCCTCTGTCATCATTTTCTCTAACTCCTCATCGCACTCCTCAAAGATGGTGGAGAGCCTCTTGTAGGCAGCCCGGATGTCCATGGGCTCCTCAAAAATGATGATCACCGGCTTCTTGTCCAGGCACATGACCGGCGCGTCACCCTCCAGGGCCCCGGGCTGGGCGCTCAGCTCCTTCTTGGCGTCAACATTCACTGTCTGAACATCTTCGCCCTTCCTGCTCACGATATCCCGAACCTCGCCGCTGGACAAAACCTGGACGGCCGTTTTGGTGATCATGAAAGCGATGTTGTCCGGGGTGGGGGCTTCTTCTGTGGGAGAACTTAACAGGGATTCTCCTCCGTCGCCGGGGGTCGGGCTGGCATGCCTCCCGCCCTTGGGCCTCAGGACGACTTGCCCTGCCTCAGCCACGACGGCATCTTGTGGATCCTGTGTTCTGCCTCCATGGACACCCAGTTCGGTCGACCTTGCGGGAGGGGGAAGGTGGCCCGGTGCGGTCACCTCCTTTCTCTTTCCATGGCTCACCCACTGGCTCTGCGACTCTGAGACTCCAGGCCCTTTGCCGAGTTCCTCCTCCGGGGAGCCAATGGCGGCCACGCTGGGATTGACTGCATTTTTCTGGGAACAGGCTGGGCTGTCCCCAGTAAGCAGGCTCCCGACAGAGTCAGGTTTCTCCTTCACTGAAAGGCCAGCTGTGTGTGCTCTCGGGGCATCACAACTCCTGCCCTTCACGCCGCTGTCCCACAGGTCCTGAGGACGGTCACCACGTCGTCGTGGCCCTGCAGGAACCTGGGAGGGTGACGGGCGGAGGAGGGAAAACACACGTCCGTCAGAGATGGGGCTGCACTGGGCGGTTATTAATCTGCAAGCTAGCGTGGGGAACGCGGGTCCGGTGGACTCACCTTTCGGGGCTCCACTTGGGGTCCACTTTCAGATTCAACTTCAGATTTCCAAATGTCTTCATGGAAAAATTCCGAATTCTGGTAGGATAGTGTAGGACATGTTACTCCACAAAAACCACACCCCCCTCCCAAAGTGGACTACCACTACGTTGCTCTTTGAAGTCTACGTCCAAACCATGTTAGCGCGCACATTGGCCACACACCACACCACACGCCGACAGCTCTGTCTACCTCGGGAGGCTTTGTTCTGCAACTTCCAGGATGGAAAATCCCAGTGCGTGAAATAGCGCCTGGATTTCACATTTGGTGGGGGGCGGGTTTGGAGACTCAAAGGGCCAATCCGGCATGACTGCCCCACTCCTTTCAACAACTGATGGCGAGCGCAGCGGAATCGCAGACCAGAAGAACCTCGGGGCCGGGAGACGCCCAGCGTCCTGGCCGGCAGGACACTGGTTCTGGCCAGGTCTGTCCCTTGGTGTGTTACTTGGGGCAGGTCACTCCTTTCTGGGCCTCAGTCATCTTGCCTGCAAACCGAGGAACTGGACCGAGAGATCTCTAACGTCTCCTCCGGTTCAGCCCCCTTCCTTGCCTCTTTTAGAAAAACTGCCCCGAGGGACAGCTGCCGGGTTGGGAGAGGGTACTCCGAGATTAACACGTAGCACCCTTTCTCCCTGGCCCAAGTTTGAAATGAACCTGTGGTTTTTGTACTTCCAAGTTGAACGTGTCGAAGGAAACCTGCAGACTCACAAGCGCAGTCAAGGTGGCCGTATCTGAAGGACCGACAGTGATCTCAGCATTTCTGCCACGGCCCGTGGCCACTCCTGCGCTGATGGTGGCAGCTGAGTGCAGCTCCACTCTGGAAACTCTGTGGTGCAGGGTGGAGACCGTTTCTCCCTGTCCTCAGGGCCCAGCAGGGAGGGCGCGGTCCCGAGCGCTTGTCGAACATCAGTGTGATCAGGAGTCTTCGAGCCCGGGCCTAGAAATGCTCAGCCACTACACCTTGCCATGTCTGAACCACCACCGCCCTGTCTGCTGGCGGTGGAAGCCCAAGAAGAAGCAGCACACGACCCCCTTTGGTGAAAGTGACGCCAGTGTCCCCGAGCCACGACGTCCAGTCCCCCGGCCCTGGCGGAACACGGACAGAGACGGACACACACTCAAGGCGCGATGCACGAGCAACAAGGTATTAATTACATGGAAACGTAGAAAATGCACGGGGCACTGGCCATCATCAGCCACCCCCTCCTGTTGCCTTCCTCTGACCGCCCCCCAAACACACACCACGATGCAGCCACCCCGCAAGAGGCTTTCAGAAGACTGAACATGGAGGCAGGCTGTCACGCAGTCACAGAATCAGAGTAGGAATGGACCGTCTGGCTGCCCCCCATTTACCCGGGGCTGGGGCTGGCGTCCTTCTGATTGGTCGGAACCCCGGCCCTACTCAACATTAGCGATGGTAACCGTCAGTGTGCAGTCGACATCGTTGAGAACCGATTTCAAGGTCAAGACCCTCCCACGGGCAGTCCATGGAGATCAAGATGTCAGGTGTGGGCTTTACAGCACCGCTCATTCTTGTCACCGGATTTGGGCAGAGAATCAATATATCAAGGCAGCCATGTTAACTATATCGAGTAACTTAGCCATCAACCTCAGCTAATCCCATATGGTGGACTTGGGGAGTTGATTTCTTTGATAGTCCGAGGGAATTATGAATCTGCACGAAAGGCAATTATGCTAACAATTGGCGGGTGATGCTTAATATGCATGTAGTTTTAGTATCTAGTAACTTATTTAGAAATTAAGAGACATCATGACAATTGCATCAAACTGAAGTACGAGGCTGGAACTTTCTGATAGTGCTCCCCCGGGATTAAAGAAACGATTGATACATGGATAGGTTGGCAGTTAGTTCAGGAAAAGGTTAATCTTGACAAAAGTTGGGGGTGGTGGTGGTGGCAAGCTTGCTACTCGTGGTTCTGACGAGATAGACGGAGCCTCTGGGGAGAAGCGTCGAGATTAAGATTCTACGACTGATCCCCGACAAAGCTGGAGACTCAGAAAAGGCCTGCTTGTTAACTAGGGTAAGTGGGGTGGGGGCTTCAAATCACAGGATGAGGGCCTCCATGCCAACTGTGTGCAGTCACTCAGGAGCATTCTACAATGAGCTGGTAGCTGTTCCAGAAGGGTCTTTGAGAAGCGTCAAGTCCCCAGTCCTGATTGCGACAGAGCGAGCCTGGAGCTAAGCGAGCCAGCAGCCCCCTCCGTGGGGGGGAGTGTCAGGCAACCAAGGACGGTGGCTACCTGAATTAGCAACGGGAGTCGCGCAGACTGAATTCTCACTGGCAGGAGGTTTTCAAGCAGGTTGTACCAGCAACGACCTCCCACCTAGGCTTGCCATCATTTCCTATGTAAGGCACCTCGATGGGTGCCGCAAAAGGTCTCCCCGATGGGGTCTGGCAGCCAGGGAGGAGGGCATGGGGTCACCTTGGGGTTGGGACCCGGAACTTCCTAGCAGAGTGTGGCGAGCCACGAGTCGCTGACTCATGCCATCCTGTGCGTGGCTGTCATCTGCAATCTGAATATGCTGGGCTTTGAGAAAGTGTGTGGAAACATTCCATTGTCTTTCATTCCATTTTTCCACGGACTCTCCCAAGCTCCTGCATAAGAGTTCGATCAGCTCGTTAATCCTGAAATTTAGACCCACACGCTAAATAAAACAAAATAGCTCTACCCAAAGGTCAGAGAAGCCCCAGCTCCAACTCCATTCGCTGTCCTAACCCCCAGGCTGACGTCCTTTACAGTCTCGTTGCTCCTGAGCTTGTGTCCTGGAAGGCACTCTGAGAATGTGGAGACTTGAAGAGCAAATTCTGTGTGTTATCCTTAAACCTTGGGGAAAATACACATTTGTATGTTTATATGAGACGAACAGAGGAGCCTTGGTGGCGCAGTGGGTTACACGCTGGTCTAACCACAAGGTCAGCAGTTTGAAACCACCAGCCGGTTCTTGGGAGAAAGGTGAGGTTTTGTCGAGGACCAGATGCCAGGATGACAAAGTCACTGGTGGTCTCCCGGGAAGTCAGGGACTTGGGCGAGGTCCAAGGCTTTGTGTGACCCTTCACAGAGTCATTGTCTATAGAACACGCACGGATTGCGACTCGATGCTCCATGAGGGCCTAGGAACAAGGGACAGGGTGATCTGCCTGCGAAGGTCCCCAAATGACTGGAGCCCAAGCTTTACAAAGAAGTCGTTCGAAGTTGGTCTCTGATCGGACTTCCTGATCCCATCATGTCTCTGTTTCTCTTTCGGGCATCTTGACCCCCCAATTTCAGGTTCTCTCTTGGTTGCTGTGCAGATGCACGGCCTTCCACTTCCACGAACATTTACCGCTGTGGAAACCACAGCGGCAGTTCTACTCTGTCCTACGGGGTTGCTGTGAGGCAGAAGCGATTGGTTGGCGGTGAGATTAGGTTTGCAGTTGACGAGGATATACTGGCAGGCAGGCTTAGAGCTCTACTGTGCGTTTCCTTTCCTGAATGTAAGGCTTTCACTAATTGTTAACACAATTCTTTTTGCCCAAGAAGAGATACTAAACAAAAGAAAACATGTTCCATGTGAGTGGTGCCTCTAGTTTTCCTATTTCTGTTCTGAAAACCCTGAAAGGGAGTCCCTTGGTACTCAGGCAGTTCACGTAGTCGGGCTCAGCCACAACCGGAAAGGCTGGTGGTTCGAGTCTCCCTCGAAGTAACCGTGCAGGAAAGGCCTGGGGACGGACTCTCGAGAAATCAGTCAATGCAGATCCAGCATGGCCCAGTTCTCCTTGCCTCGCCAGAATCCAGTTGGGCTCGATGTGTGACCCTCTCTTTCCTCTGGGAAGACGCCCTTCCATTCTGCACACACTCCCAAGAGCTGCGCGCTCGGCCCATGACGTTCACGCTGGACACTGGAGCCGCATGGCTCCACTCCACACCCAAACTTGTGTCTCCATCAGTCTAAGAAAACGACGTACAGTGCGGAGGAAGGGCGCACAGAGGGACAGGCACAGGGGAGCGTGTTAGTATCCGAGCAGGGAACAAAGGGCTGTCAGGAGCGTGTGGCAGATGCCTGGTGCCCTGTTACCTTCTTGTCCTTGGGTGGGACTGTGGCCCCGGGCCTAGTGTCTTTAGCGTGACCGTCTGTCCGCAACTGCTCGGCATGACTGTTTGAGTTTGCGTCTGTAAAGGAACACTTCTGGAATGCCTAAAGGGTTAAAATACCGAGGTTAACATGGCCAGGCTGTCCTGAGGAGGAAAAGGGGGAAGCAGGCTGGGAAGTCAGAGGCGTGGGGCCCAGCCCTACACAGACAGGCAGGCATGCGGCCAGTGGGACACCCCTGGCAAACGCTCCTGCTCACAACACTACCCCCCCCCTCACCCCCATCCTGGGGGGGGGCTGTTCTGGAGTTAGTTGCTGTGGTAGTTACATAATCTGTTGTCAATTTGAGACTATCAAGAGGGAAGGGTATTCTGTCTAACCTGCACTGCTTTCTTAAACAGGAGCCAGCCTTTAAGTTTTTAATATTCATTTAGTTAAAACCCCCCCCCCCCCCGCAGTTGAGTCTGAAAATTTTTCCTATATATGAATGGCACCCTGCGCTCAACAGTATTTTACATTCCATGCCACGGGCTTGTTTCATGATACCACTATTGGAATTACCCAAGGCCCATGGAGGTCATTTATACCATCTCTCCAAAAGCTGCTAAGGCTTGCACTACAGGGGGGCAGGGATATACGTCAACCTCAGATACATGACTGGATCTCGAGCCCTAACCTAGGATGAAGTCCTACTTGATACTTACCCACTTGAAGGGATGGGTGCTATAGTAAAGTGTGGAGAAGAAATCGGATGGTGCCCAGCTATCAGAAAGAATAGTGTCTGGGGTCTTAAAAGCTTTTCCTTAAAACAAGCACCATCTAAGTGAGGTGTCAGCTAAATTCACACAGAAGAAGCACACCACCCTGTGTAATCCAGAGATTGTAAGTAATACCATCTAAGACCAGAGGAGGGAATTAATTGCATTAGAACTTAAATTCTGAGCACCCTATTTTGCAGAAGGCTAGGGATTACAGTGAAGGCCCAAATACCCGTTTGCAGAGTCCCCACATGGAATACGCTTCCACTGAATCCCCTCGGGTCCCTGACCAGGGACAGCCTTCCCTTAGACAGAACGCATCATAAAGTGGATTAATGCAGATCCTGTATTAAAATTTAACATCTTGTTTCCCCTTTCAACTTGTTTTAATTTGCCTTAGTTCTTATTATTTTCTGACTTCTTTTGAATTGAGATTTCTCAGTGTTTTATTTTGTTCTTGTTAGTTTTAATTTTTGCAGGGGGGGGGGATGATTTTCTTTATATAAATTCAAGATACATCAATCTACAGAGATAGTAACCAGATTAATAGTTGCTTACAGTGAAGGCTGGGGGAAAAATGAACTTATAACACATTCATGTACATGAAGTACTTGAATGAAGAAAATGTTCTAAAATTGATTGCATTCAATCAGAATGACTTTTAAATCATTGGCTTGTAAGGTATATGAATTATATGCCAATAAGGTCCTTAAAAATGGCTATCACACTTCAGTGGAGGTGCCCAAGTGTAGAGCTATACGTGGGTGTAACACTGAACTATTGCCTGGAGGGCTACTGCAGGGGACTGACAACGCTACAGGTCAATCAGTGCCTTCTCTGTCAGAAACGAATGCTTGGACTGCCTGGATGGAGCAAAAGGGTCAACATGCCCGATGGCTAATTTAAAAGGTGGAGGTTTGAGTTTCCTCCCAGAGCCACCCTGGAAGGAAAGCCTGACGGTCAACTTCTGGAAAATCAGCCTTTGCCAATGCTCTGAAGAGCAGTCTCCCGTGCCCCACAGGTCAGTGTGGGCTGCAGTGGACGGTTTGAGTGTTTATCATCCACTTCAGCCAAGCTCCGTGGTGCGCATGAACAGGCATATATATACCTGTTCTCGCACAGAGGAGGAGGGCGAAGTCTGAATTCGGGGTGCCACAGGGAAGGAGGTTTCTCTCAGCTCTGGGGCGGGTTGTCCTCGTCCTCATTCTTTCCCTGGGCCGCGGGAGGCATTCCTATCTTGCTGTAGGAGGTCCCTGGTCCCCTACTTCCCTCTCTCTTTCTCCTGTGCAGGCCGTATCCCGGGAGATCTCGTCTTACATCACATCAGAGTCTTGACAACTTGCACCATAATTCCATGATGTGGAAGCAGATATTACAACATATGACCCCAGAGCCTGCTGGAAACATGGTAGGGAAAGCACCGATCCGCACTCCTGAGCAGCCCGGGACAGACACGCCAGGTCCTTACAGGGGCTGCCACACACACCACTGCTTCCTGCGCCGTGACTATACAGGTCTGTGCTTCCTAGGGAGGCAGTCCCAACACGCTCACACCTGGACACCATCTCCCTGGCAGAGGGCTACCCCAGGTCCATCTCTGCCTTAGTGAGCTCTCTAAGAGTAAGAGCTCGCTCCCATAGCCCTGTGTCCCTGTCAAAATCAAGCAGCCAACTTCGGAGTCCCTGGAAGCTGGAGCAGGGCAGCTTCAAAGACAAGCTTTGGATGTTCTCCCTGCTCCGAGCGAAGAGGGCAGCTCCGTGGGCCTGCAGGGCCCCCGCCCCCGCCCCCATGCACTGTTGAAGGCCGTGACACTGTTTGAGAAGCCAGGGTTCACACTGCCAGAGACATCACGTGCACCGTCGTCTGGCACCTAACGCGCCCATGCAGTGATGCGTATGTGCACACACTGTGCCCAGGAGACTCATGTACCCAGGGGCTGCACAGTTGGAAGATAAACAAAAACTCAACTCTTGAATGTGTTCTTCATGTGAAAATACGCATGCCTCTGAGTAGACACGTTTCTAGAGGGGAGAAAGACTCAGGGCAGAGTCAGTTTGAAGGTGGCACTGTCTTTGGATACAGCCCCTGAGCCTCGTTGCCGTTTTAAAAAGTAAACAACAGCTTCCCATTCCCTCCTCCTATCAGCCCTTAGTAAGACTCGGTGAAAGTGAGTCGACACCCATCCTTAGCGGCCCCACGGGACAGACAGAGCTGTGCCTGGAGTGGAAAGCCCGTCTTTTTCCCGCAGAGCAGCTGGTGGTTTCGAACTGCTAGCCTTGCCGGGTGCAGCCCACGGCGGAGCCATTATGCCCCAGGGCTCCTTCATCAGCCCGTGTGTCTCAGGTTGTGCCTCTTCTAAATACTCCAAATACATGGCGTCACACAGCATTTGTCACTCGGTGTCTGACCTATTGTCACCAGGCATATTCTCAATGGATCCGAACTTCAGTGCTCTCTGAGGCTGAAAGGGCACGGTGTGTTTGCTCACCTGCTTCTCTCGGTGCGCACCTGGGTTGTTTCACCTACTGGCTGCCCTGACTAGTGCAGCAATGAACAGTGCGGAGCATGGGCGCATTCGAGTCCTGGCTTCCATTCTTTGGGGGTACATACCCCGGAGTGGAATTTCTGGCCCACTGGGTAATTCTGTATTTGTCTTAACTGTATGAGCGCACTCTGTCAGTTAGTTAAAAATGAAAAGCCTAAAAGCATTGCTTCCCTGCAGGACACAGAAGATGGAAGTGAGCTACGCCGCCTGCCTTTGGGAAAGGCCACCACTGCCGGCGAACAGGAGGCTGCATGCAGTGGAGAAGCCCAAACGGACCAGGGTCCCTCGGTCCAAGCATTACAGACACAGACGGGGCGGGCGGAAGCAACTGTGAGTATGGCTGGCACTTAGGATGCCCATCTGGGTTGCTATGGCCACACAGCACCAAGCCGCTAGGCTGTCCGCTCCCGTGGAGATTCACAGGCTGAGAAATCTTGGGAGAAGACCTATTCCGCCCAGAGAAGTGGCTGGGGTGGAGCCGCTCCACAGCAGCGAGAGAAGGGGTTCAGAGAGCTCGCACTGGACTCTTCTGCCCACACGGGTTCCTGGACGGTGTGGCAAGAGGCCTGTTCTGTTCAACAGAACTCCGTCAGGGCCACCTCGGGGGTGAAAGGAGGTCATGCCCACTGAGAGTTGGCACACCTCCCACCCAGTGGGCCGTGTGCCAGCCCTCGGAGGAAGCTAGGAGGGAGGACTACAGCCCCAGACAGGAGGGCAGGGGGTATACCTGGAGTCCGCATACCTGGAGCTCTGCCATTATTTTGTCTCCTTCTTCCTCTTCCTCCTCGTCCTTTGAGGAGACGGTGGGGACCGGCGGGACAGACTCCTCTGTTGGAGCCGGTGTGGGTCTGGGCTGAGAAGTGGGTCCAGCATCTTCAGGGCTTGCCTGTGGGGGACGCAAACCAGAGATGGTCAGGGGGAACATGTGCTCCTCGGTGGCCCCCAGCTCTGCCGGGGACAAGGCGGCGCTATCCCTCTGAGTTCTGCGCCCACAAGGCACCATTTGACAACGACAAGTGAAACAGACCCTTCAACCTTCTGTGCGCTTTAAGAAATCCACCCCCCGACCACCCTCTCTCCTTGCAAGTGGCTGTCACGGTCCACACTGAACTGTGTCACCTGTGTCACCACAGGTAAGCAGCCTGCCCCAAGGAGCACCTTTCCTGGAGGGCATCTCCCTGGCCCCTGACCTGAGGCAATCTGGTTTTTAGTTTTGTTTTATGTGGACTCTTTCATAAAAATTATCATTTTATTGGGGGCTCATATAACTCTTATCACAATCCATACATACATCCATTGTGTAAAGCGCATTTGTACATTCATTGCCCTCATCATTCTCAAACATTTGCTCTCCACTTAAGCCCCTGACATCAGCTCATTTTGAACCCTTGATAATGTATAAATTACTTTGTCATATTTTACATTGTCCAACATCTCCTTTCACCCACTTTTCTGTTGTCCGTCCCCCATGGAGGAGGTCATATGCAGATCATTGTAATCGGTTCCCTCTTTCCATCCCACCCTCCGGGTATCGCCACCCTCACAATGGAATGCAGGGTTGTGGATGGGCTTAGAGCACTTCTTGCTTACACCAGCGCTCGCCTCTATCAAGAGGTGCTGCAAGTCTCTGAGGGACGGGGGTGTTCATTTCCCCCCCAATGGGCTTCTTCTAAAACAAGGCGCCTGAAACTACCTCAATATACCTTTGCTTTACTTCTGTCAATAGCACTTAGCGATATGTGTCTTTTAACGTACTTTTTCTGGTTCTTTCCATATTCTACCCTCCCTGACTATGATGCAGGAGGCCTGGCCAGGGAAGAGGGCCTGCAGCCTGGAGGAGAGTGCCCTGTGGACCCCCACTGCAGTCCGGGCTAGCCTGATAACACGAGAAAGACCTCGATAATCCTTACTGGGCAGTTCAGCAGTCTTCTATCTGAGCCCGCAACCACACCAACAGCAGAACTTTCAAAGTTAAGTGGAAATTAAAGCTTGAACACCTGTCCGCGCAGACTGCCACAATCCCGGGCATGTTCAGAAAAAGGGGTTCTCTCTCCTTCCTTCCCCAGCCCCACCTCCGCTCTCTTAGGCTGCCAGGCTCCAGAGGAGTCTGCGCTGCTGCCGCCGCCGCAGTCCAAACGCGGAGACTCTGAGTCTTCCCCGCCTGCGTGTGCACGTCCCTCCCTCCGCCTCTGCCCCACGACTTGACACGTTTTGAAGGAGAACACGGAGGGTCAGAGACAGCACCGGGGCTCACCTTCACAGTGAAGCTCTCCTTCCTGCTGGTGTAGACCACGTCACCGGACCTCGTGGTGGTGAGCCCAGATCCTGGTAGGTAGCTCCGCCTGGGGGGTGGGGGTGGGGGAGGCGGGGACCTCCCCCCCAGCTTCTCCGAGTCCTGGTCTGAAGTTGGTGAGTCTTCTGAAAAAACAATGGATTGTGTAAAACAGCCTCTTTTCAACTCCCGTGTAGAAAGTCCAGAGTATTTCTGTGCACTCAACACCATCTGATTTAAAGTCTAAGCCGGAACCTGAACCTGATGCTGACAGGTCCCTGCTGCCTCTCACGGCTCGTGGTACAGAGGAGAACCGCCAGGCAGGAAGTCATCGCCAGGCCTTTCTCCCATGATGCCCCTGGGTGGGGCCAAGCTCACCATTAGAAACCCAGTGCAAACTGCCCCACCCAGGGACCCGATGGGACTTAGAAGTCGCTCTCCCTTCTCTGGGGACAGGGAGCAGGAGCCGCAGCTGGGATGGGAATCCCAGAGGACTCTGGAAAGTACTTAGCCCCCTTGTGCCTCCGTTGTCTCACCTGTAAAGGGGGATTAAAATAGCCTCTCTCCACTGGACTGTTTAGAGGATTCCAGGACTAACTATACAGAAAGTCCTCAGAACAGGGCTTGGCGTACTGGGACTGCTCGGCAGGTAATAAGCGCCAAGCCACACCTACTGTCATCGAGGCGATTTCCATTCAAAGCTACTGAGGTCGGGGGAGATAGGGTTTCCGAGGCTGTAAGTCTTTACAGGAGCATTTCTCCTAGGACCGGCAGGGGACACTGAACATTGCCCTTATGGCAGGCAGTCCAATGTGTACCCATCAGTGCCGCCTACATGTCACTGTTACTAGAAGGAAACCGAGTGCCCCTTTTAAAAACTCCAATGGCAAACCCAGAGCCTTTACAACCTCTACCTCCTGGTGCCTCAGCGGCAGGGATTGGTGCAGGGTGCAGGTCAATAGAAGATGGGCCACAGATGGGGACAGAGAATAGAGCCAAAGGCCAAGTGGTTTTATCTGGCTGGAAAAGATTCTTCATGGAGGCAGTGTGTGCAGAGATTGTAGACTCATACTTTGCGTGGTTGGCATCGAAGGTTGGAAAATGGTGATATCTGCTCAGGTTCCCCCAAACCCAATTCTGACTGAGAGTGAGCCCACTGATGGGACAGGGTACAAGTGTGCCTGTCGACTTGCGGCTGTCATTTCCGAGATAGCCTCATCTTTCTCTAGTGGAGTGGCTGGTGGGTTCGAACTGCAGACTTTGTGATTGGCAGCCCAGCACATAGCCCACTATACCACCAGGGGTCCTAAACCACCTCTGGTAAGTGGGAAAAACCCACACTCACTGCTATCAAGTGGACGTCAATGCATAGTGACCTACAGGACAGGGTAGAACTGCCCGTGAGTTTCCGAGACGCTAGCTCTTTTGTGGAGTCGAAAACCACACCCTTCTCCCTTGGAGAGGCTGGTGGGCTAAAACTGCAGACCCCAGTGTGGGGCCACTATGCCACCGGGCTCCTCGGCCACCCAGTGAGTGGGGAAAGGTGTTGCTCAATGGAAACTCAAGGCAGCCTTTGGTCAGGATTTCTCGGAGGGCGACCTTATGCCAGGGCTCAGAAAAGCAGCGGAGCTCCTCAGAGAGGTTTGTCAGAACTGTCTCCCTAGTGACAGGGCTGCCTCCAAAGAGTCTGCTCTTCTTTCCTAAGCAATCCCGACACAGTTGTTGTGGGGAGATTTCTGGTGCATTTCTACTTAGAACTGTAATAAAGAGGTGGTAGGTAAGCCATCAGGGTCAAGGGAGGTGATTGTTAGTAGCAGAACACTCCCTGCATCGGCTGGCGGGCGACCCAGGGGCAGACCACACAGGTGGGCATAGAAGCACATGGTCCACCCTCCCAGCAGTGGTCTCTGCTTCCTGGGTGCGCTGGGGATTTGCCCACGCTCACCAGCCTCGCAGTGTGCACAGTGAGAATGCTTGGGGTGGATACGGCCCAGGAACCTTGGCTATTTCAATGGTTAGCTATTCATTCTCAGAGTTCATTAGCAGACAGAAATAAAACAGTAACATCCAGGACAAATAAAGGGAGAGGGACCAACATGTACAGATGGTCATAAATAGGCTTCTACGTTAATAAACCCACCGGCACCGTTCAGGAGAGGGTAGAACTGCCCCTGTGGGTTTCTGAGACAGTAACACTTACAGAAGTAGAAAGCCTTGTTTTTTTCTTGCGAGCAATTAACAGTGGAGTGTATATTATTAATAGGAACCCTGATGGTGTCAGAGTTGTGTGTTGGGCTGCGATCCATACAGTCCACAGTTCGAAACCACCAGCAGTGCCTCAGGAGAAAGATGAGGCTTTCTACTTCCATCAACAGTGTCAGTTTCAGAAACTCACGGGGGTGGGGTGCGCGCCAGCATGGAATTGATGGTAGTGGGGGTTCTGGGGGGGGGGGTGTCTATTTCTGGGTGGTGCGAAGAGTTAAGGAGCTCGGCCAATGACTGCAAAGTTGGAAGTGTGGGTCCACCGAGAGCTGCCTATGAAGAAAGGCCTGGAAATAGACCGAAAAAAAACCAGCCACTCCAACTCACAGGGGGGAGCCACGAGCCACAGGGGACTCTCGGGATCTACCAGTGGAATTCCTCCAAAAACAATCATTGTTGGTTTTTTGTTTTTGTTTTTTCACAGACGGTTTTAAAAGAGCAACACAAATTTAAGAACAATGTTTAAAAAATGTCTTCCGTGGGAAGAAGATAAGAGGGAGTAAGTTCAGCGAATGTCATAGTTTTGCCGTCGGATGAAAGACTTACGGTGAGAAGCATGACATTAACGCCCAAGACGATCCCTGTCATGAGGTAGAGACTTTTGAAATGAGGAGAGCAGTACTCCCCTTCCCTTCATGGGAGACTGTTGCTGGGTCCTGGAAGGGTCCTAGGGGGGCCGACACTGAGCAAGGACTTGTAGGGCAGATGACTAACCTGGCATCCCGGCAGGAAGGCAGTCTCCCAACACTTGTTACAGGTCAAGAGTGGGAGTAAGGCTCTAGGGAACGCCTTGGGATGGTTTTTCTTCCCATCATTATATTTTATATGATTTTTTTCTCCCACACCATTTTATTAGGAGCTAATCCAGACATCATACCAGTCCATAGTTCAATCCGTTCTCTACCTTTTTGAACTCCTTGACATCGGCTCCTGGGGTGCGTGGGCACAGTGGCCAGGCTGGTGGCAACACGATCTGAGGGAAGTCCCCGGCCTGCCCACCAGGAATACCTGCTGTCTTACCTGACAGCTCTAACTGGTCCCCCGGAGCGTGTCCCTTGGGCAGGGGGCTGGAGGCAGGCGGCACCTCCAGGTTGGGAATGGACTTCATGATACTGGCCTGCGCTTCTTCCAGGAGCTTCTCAAACTCCCTCCCAGCACAGTGGTCCCGATTGTGCCGCTCCTCTTCCCAGCGCCTTTCCGCTTTCTGGAGGGTAAGGGGCGTTTAAAAGCCCGAGGGAGAAGATAGTGCACAGCTGGTGAATGAACCGGTAGGGAAATACAGGTGCCAGGTTGGAGAAGTAAGGTCCTGGTTTCTGTTTTCACTCCAGACCCTCTTTGCCAAGTCCAGGCTACCTGGCTCTCGTGCCGTCAGCCACACCTTCCGCAGCCAACTGGACTGCTGTGCCCGGGACAGTGACAGCCACAGAGAGAGAAGCCAGCTCAGGCACCCCACGCCACCCCGGGAGTTCCCGCTGCCGACATGGAACAGAAGGAACACAGGCACGTGCTTTCCAGAGTGCACACAGGCCACCACCCACCGTGCTTGTCTGCTTTGCTTTCTAAATGCTAATGTTCAAACAAATAGGAACCACATTAAAAATAAAAAGCTCTAGGAATAAGGAGTCCTGCGTAGGTTGAGGTCTAGGGCGCGGAGGGGCGGGCTCTCGTCTCCGCCCTTCAGGGTCCCTCCCTTCCTTCCCCTATTTCCACAGCGTGCATCCTCTTCGTGGGAGACCATCCAGTGATCGACTGTGCCTCTTCTCTGCACTCCCTCGGGCTAGTGTCTAGAAGGCCTGGTGTGGAGCAGGCCTCAGTGATAGCTGCCGAGTCAGCAAAGCTCATCCCATTAGTCAGCGGTAGCGCTGGGAGAGAGGCACCAAGCCGCTCCCCCACCAACCTCCAAGCGCAAATATAACTATGCCCATAGGGAGCTCAATAAATATTTCCCAAACACACGAGGTGTCCCAGTGACGTACTTTAACTATCAGGATCAAAGGGGCGAATCCACTCATCCTTAGAAGGAAATGTGTTCGACCAGGATCACCCTGACCCCATCCGCCAAGCACTGGTGACAAATCCTCCTCCTCCGGGGCATTTCCACCCGTGCTGTGATGAGTCTTTTTACAGAGCTGGCTCAGGTCAGGGGCACAGTCACTCAGGCTGGCACAGAGAGAAGCTAACTACTGTTCAGAGCGCAGTAGCCATGAACTTGGCCTTAGCAAGTGGTCAACTGAACATGCCCAACCTGAGGTACCCCCTGGGGATTTGTCAGGAAAAGGCAGAAGGCCTGGCACTAGGTTGCGGGAGGGCAAGTTGTAGGGACAGAGCTGGGAAAGTAGAGTGGGTTGTCTGACTGGACACCAGCTCTTAATAAAAAGAGCATTTCGAAACAGCCTGATCTTTCTCTATTGCAGGACTTCACCTCGTCTGTTACCCTGAGGTGGCTCTGAACTTCCAGAGTACTGTTTCCCTAAGTGGGCGACCCCTCACCTGGGGGCCCCCAAAACAGCTAGCGACACAAATGTTTCACTGCTAGGGGGCGCTGTGGAGTATTCCCCCTTTCTTCTTCAAGAGTGAAATGCCAGTTTTGTTTGTTTTTCTAAAAGGCCAAGTAAGTTTGGGAGACTGTGTTCTAAGAGCCTATCGCCCAAACCATTCTGTCTGTTTCCATGGTAACTTTGGTAACTTCCTGACGATGCCATGCTCCCACTGGCCCCAACGTGGCAGCAGTCTGCTGCGATCTACAAAACGAACTCCGGACCTCTCGGGCTGGAATTCACACTCGCCCGAATCCATTTCTGGACTGTTTCCCCAGGTGCCTCTTTCTGCAGCTTTTCCGCGAGCAGGGTTACACCTCTGTGCCTAGGGCGCCCTCACCACACTCTGCTCGCCCAGATCCCACCTAGCCTGTTGCGTGATGGGTGGTCAGAGCCAAAGCCTCATCTTTAATGCCTGCCTGGGCACTGGGACCAGCTCCCACTGGCCCGCACTCAGCCGGGCACAGTGGGAGGAGTTACACCACCACCATTGGCAGATGCCACAAATCAGGGCACTTTACCCCTAGAAAGGCAGACGGGCGTTTACCACTGCCCCACCTTCCCACAGCCTAGAGGTGGGTGCCTGCACCGGGTTGGACATATTAGCACCAGGCTCCTGAAAGCCATGGGTGTTGTTGCTGGGGGCCTCCAGACAGCCAGCTCTCGGTGGCCCCATGCCCTGAAGGTTTCCAGTGGCCGGTTTTCCTGACATAGATCACCAGGCCTTTCTTCCTAGTCCTCACCTTAGTCTGGGTGTCCCACCAAAACCTGCTCAACAGCAGAACGCTTGAGACGTCACTGGTGGGTGGGGGGGTAGCTGCATGTGATGGATCCTGGCTGGGGGTTGAACCGGAGCTCACACGTTAGAAGGGAGAACGCTACCACGGAGCAAAACCTACGCTGTCCTCGGACACCCATGTGCAGCGCTGAACATCGGCGTTTGCAACATGTGCATCATGCCTCCACCCTGTTCCTCCAGGGGCAGGGCCACACGCTACCCTCCATTCTACGGGCTTGGAAGACGTGGAATGGACTCTTACCTCGATGGACACGGCCCTGCTCTTGGCACCCAGGCTGTGGATTTCCTCCATGAACAGGCTCTGCACGGTGGACCCGTTCACGGGTGACTGTGGGGACTGGGGGCCGGGTGGCAGCAGGGGGCCCCTGTCCTTCAGGGCGGTGGGGGGGCTCGGCGGTGCCCCCGGCGGGTTCTGCGCGGCACTCAGTGCCGAGGAGTGCTGGGACTGTTGCATGAGCACGGGCGAGCTCTGAGCGTGGTGCACGGCCACCACCTCTGCCTTCACGTCCCCGGGGACGCCTGCGCCGTGGGGGGCCTCCTCCTGGCTCCGCAGCACCTCTTTTTCCATCGCCAGGTACTGTGCGGCTTGGGTGGCGTCGGCTCCCTTCAGGAGCCCGTCGGTGACATGCCTAGGAGAAGCCAGGCGGGGCAGCGTCAGCCCTGACCTCTCGTCCCACCCGCGGACCACAGCTCGGACACCACGTCCAGACTTGGCTTCAAAGTGGAAACATTCTGAGCCTCAGAGGAGCTGCTCCAGGGCCAGGGTTTCCAAGGCAACTTCCTCAAGCTCCACCCCCCGGCAGCTGCTTCTCAGCCCTTCCCGCACTGCGATCCCGACACCATTCTCCTACACCCCCACTGGATTCTGACCCCGCTGGCCAGCAGACAGGCTCAGCTCTAATGTCAAAAGCTCCTTTTGACACGAGACGGAGAGCATGCTGAGGATCCCGCTCCTGCCAGCCCACGTGTGGGAGCGTGTGTGGAGCGACAACGCCGAGGCGGTGATTCTTCTGTCGTCTAGAGCGGTGGTGCTCCACCTTCCCAATGCGGGGACCCTTTCAGACAGGTCCTCATGTGGGGGTGACCCTCCCAGCCATAACATTAGTGTCGCTGCTGCTTCGTCACTGTCATCTTGCTATTATGAATCGGGCGACCCCCTGGGAGCGAGACCCCAGGCTGAGAACCGCTGTTCTAGAAGCAGATTGCCAGGCTGTGCTTCCTGGGCACTCCGAGCAGCGCCCACCCCATCCAAGGGCACCAAGCTTCCTGCGCTAGCCGCCCCCAACACTCTCCCCTTTCACTGCTGAACCTTTGAAGTAGCGCTTCTCAACCTGTGGGTCCCAACCCCTTTTGGGGTCGAACGACCCTTTCACAGGGGTCACCTAAGTCCATCAGAAAACACAAATATTTCACAATATATAATTATATAATGTTTTGTGATTAATCCCTATACTTTAATTATGCTCAATTTGTAACAATGAAAATACATCCTGCACATCAGAGATTTATATTACGATTCATAACAGTAACAAAACCACAGCGATGAAGTAGCAACGAAAATAATTCCATGGTTGGGGGTCGCCACAACCTGAGGGTCACGGCATGAGGAAGGTCGAGAACCATTGCTCTTGAGAGAGCAGTGACGCGCACTAATTCCAATCCCTTGTCCTCTCTGACCCTCCACCTGCGGTTGTCTGGCTGCGCGTGGTCAATGGCGACTTCCAGTTCTCACAACTGTTCTCAGACCTGGTCCTCCACCCGTGTGCTGCTGGGCACGTGAGGCCATTGGCCCACGCCTGTACAGGGCAGGGCGGGAAGACGGACTGAACAAACCCACTGCCATTGAGCCAGTGTCGACTCACCTCGACCCCACAGGACAGGGTAGAACTGCCCCTGAAGGTTTCCGAGACGGTGAATCTTTATGGGAGTGGCAAGTCCCGTTTTGTCCTGAGGAGCAGTGGCTGGTTTCAAACCGCTGACCCTGCAGTTAGCAGCCCGACAGGCAACAGACACACTTCTCCACCAAGGGCAGACAGGCCTATGTGTAAAGGTCAGCTTTCCTGTGTCCCAGCCACACCATGCTGGGTGATCCCTGCACCGCTCTGAGCCGGTAAGGTTCTGTAAAATGTAACACTGACTGGCCGGATGGCGCAGATGCCAGTGCCTGCTAGGATCCTGGTTAGGCTAATGCTGTAGAGGTGCACTATACGGAAGACAGATCACGTGGCTTGGGTGGTAACCCCCGGCCCACGTTTTCCCGTAAGGTCCCATCTTCGTCTTTCTGCTCTTGCTTATCAAAGTGTTCTCTTCTTGATGAAACACGAGGTATGCAATGCTTCTCTTGACCGTTCCCTTGCTTGCGGCTCTGCGGTTTCCCTACCCTGGCTTCTGCCCCGGTCTCCCCAGCCCTCTAATCTCTTCCCGTCACTTTTCCAGCAACGGTCTCCAAGAAGATGGTGCCCAAGTCCAACGCCTTCCTGCCTCCTTCCGTCCCTCCATCCTGTCCTTCTTAGTCACCACTGCGTTTGTGGCTGGTGGACACGCAGTCAACTGCTGACCCGCAAGGGTCAGTGGTTTCAAACCCAGCAGACTTTCTTGGGAGAAAGAGGAGGCTACATACTTCCGGGAGGAGTCACAGCTTTGGAGCCTGCATCGGGCTGCTGCCCACAGGGTGGCTATGGGCCAGACTGGATGGCACCGAACCCGTGTGACCCTGCACTGACTCAATGGCTGCGGGGCGTTTTGCGGGTGGTGGGGTCTCCATTGGGTATGTCCAATTCAGCATGGACCTAATCAGAGTGGCCCCATGGGGCAGACTTGAGCTTCCTGTGCTGTAATCTTTACTCCCGATCACCAGGTGTCCTTTCTTGTGGAGCTCGGGGTGGGGGGTGATGAACCTTTACTTCCTCCCTTTGTCCCAAGTCGTCTCCTCTGTCCAGTCGGGTCAGTTACACATCAAAGACACCAAGACAAGAGGAACGAGCCTAAGGACAGTTGGTGATGGGGCGCCTAATGGCAGACATGACACCTGTACTTATAAAGCTATTTAACCAGGTGCTTTGTTTCATTCTTCCTGTCACGGCCACCAGCGAGAACTTATGAGACCGGAAAAACACTGAAGCTAACAGTGACAAAAGCAGGCAACACTTGAAGCACACAGTGCCATGGCTTCCTAAGAACGCGCATTCCCTGGAGGTGGGACACACACTGAGCTTCCGCCCTGCTGGCTGGCTCTCCACTTTCCTGCACTTGCTTTTCGGGATGAGCAGGGAGCAGGGCGCAGCTTTTTCTGCCAGGGTCCTCCGTTTCCACTCAGTAAAGGTGGTTTTCCCGAAGCTATGGGATGGGTTGCCATACTGGTTCTCAACCTTCCTGATGCCGCGACCCTTTAAGACAGTTCCTCATGTGGTGGTGACCCCCAACCATGCGCTGAGCAGTGGTCACCAAAATGCACCCGGAGAGACTTTATCACGTGCAAGGTCAAGGCTGGGAAGGACGGAAGGAGTCTTCTGGGCAGCAGGACTGGAGGAACCACCCCCCCAGGCACCCCCCCCCCCAGGCACCCCCCCCCCCAGGCACCTGCGCAACACGGTCAGGGCGTCGGTCATGCTGCGCACTCTCTTCAGCAGACTGTCCAGCTTGTGCGGCTCCTCCTTCAGGAACCTCACGGCCTCCACCTCGATGCGCAGGACCGCACGCATCCTGTTCTGCAGGGTCGGGAACTCCCCTGCAGGCCGGAACGGGGGTTAATTCTCGGAACGCACACGCACACGCACACGCACACCAGCAAAGTCAGAGCTGTGAGTATCAGTAAAGTCCTAAATCCGACGGCACCCCAGAAGTCCCCATGAGTGAGGCCAGGATGCTTGCCTGCTCTGTATGGTGATGCCCCCCAAGTGCCTGGCCCAAGGCAAGGCGAATGGCTCTCCATGATCTCCCCAGTTTGGGACACCCAGAAGCACACCCAGCCCCCTCCTGCAGGCAGAAGCTCACCTTTCAGGGAAGCGACGGCCTCTCCCACTTGCCGCAGGAGGAAAGCCCCGTCCTCCACATCTTTCAGCGTAACCGCCCGTCCAGTGGAGGCAGGGTCCTTCAAGTCTTCCACAAAGTGCTCCAGGTCGCTGTGCGGAGCAAGCAAGCAGAGACAGTGAGCGCCCAGGGCCTCAGCCAGGACAGGTGGGGGCGGCAGCAAAGCAGCCTCCCACTTTACACTCCACTCCACTCCCTCCTCTAGAAGACGCAGTCTGGCTGGGTTCAAGGATTTTGTGGAGGCAGAAGCCAAGTACCAGAAAATGTTGCTGGGGCCTGTTGCGAGGGAGACCCCAAGCCCGGCCAGAGGGAAGGACCCCTCTCCGTTTCCATTGTTGCCAATGTCAGCGTGGGTGGAAGGGCGGAAGCTACTTGCATTTTGTGGCCTGAATGGTAAGGCAGGAGCCAGAGGTGTGAATTGGTTTGCCTGGCATATGACCCCAGGTGGCGCTGCTGGCATTTGGAGGCAGACAGCTCTTGCTGTGGAGGCAGTCCTGTGCGTTACAGGGTATCCAGTCGATACCCCCTCGTGCGCACTGTGTCCAGACTCTACCAACTGTCTCTGGGGGAGGGGAAGGAGGCAGCACTGCCCCTCAGTGAGCGGTTCTGATTTACCCTGGTGGTACTGCTGTTACTGATGGGCTGCTTTCCCCATGCCCCACCCCCACCCCTCACCCCAAGACCCAGGGAGGAAATGATCCCAGGCCTGTCTTGGTGGGCACGAGTGTCCCAGACAGTGCTCCCTTGGGGCATGCCAGCTCCCGCAGAGCTCAGTTATGATCCTCCACTCCAATGACAACCAAGCAATATCCTGCTCCCTGGGCACAGCAATAACCCGATCCTAAAGCACATTTTTCTCCTGCCCTTTGGCCTGTCAAATGGGAACAGAAAACCTGCTCTCAGAGAAATAAACCGAGGAAAACCACCAGGGGGCAGTAAGTGAGCGGAAGTCTCCTTCCGAGAGCAGAGAGCAGGAGAGCAGGCAGTGGACAGGGAGGAGGGAAGCAGGTCCACTCTGAGCAAACAGATGGTTGCTCTCAGCAGCTGGGGCTGGATTCATTCACGCAGGGGTCTGTGTTTATACTGCAGGATCCGGGGACGGGTAAAAATGCATCCATCTCTGACAATCAGAATGGGGTTTGGGAATGATGTCTGTTTCCAGTATAGGAAATGGGAGCAAAATGACCGCCGTCCACTCCCGATGGTGAACTGATGCTCCTGGAGACCAGGGAAGCCGTCACTGCTCCCGGTCCCCATTCTCAAAGGACGGGACTTCCTGCAGCAACGGTGTCCCAGAGGCTGAGAGACCATGTGCTTGCCATCCCTCACTCAGGACACGGAATCCGGGACAGCACCACTGTGTGGGGAAAAGGTCTTTCCCTTCCAGTCTTGAGCCAGACAGCTGCTGCAGTGGCTGACTGCACGTGCAGTATGGACAGCCCTTCCAAGCTGCGGTGGCAGAGCTGAGGCCCAACAGCTATCATGGTTACGTTAACCACAAACCTGCCGGTTCTCGAAGTCTACCCTTGGCCTACACTCCTATTTCAATCTCATTTACACAACGTGTCTCGTGGATTTAATAACCACGCACCCCAGACGCGTTTCCCACCTCACAGCTTGCCCTCTGTGGGTCAGGAAGACCACAACCGTGTGTGTGTGTGTGTGTGTGTGTCGTAATGGCACTGGGCATCACGGTGGCACTCCCATGTGTATATTTGTCACAGATGAAGCAGGAAGGGTCCCACTTGCTCATCCGCGTGGCAAACGAGACCAGGGTGCTCACATGGGTGCTGTAGATAATGTCACTAAGACTTTCACGACGTCCACTCAACTCGACCAGCGTGCCACGGGGTCACAGAGGCTTCGGGATCGGTACAAAGCCCTTCTACTGTGTAAGCTGCTTTCCCCTTCACGTCAGTTAAAGACAAAACCAGAGCCGCCTGGTGGTACGAACCGTTTCCACCCTTGGCTGCTACCTGAGAAGAAGGGGGTCTGACTGCACCCAGAGGAAACCTGGGAGAAAGGTCTCCAACAAACCAGCCCTTGAAAACCGTCCTGCCACGCGGCATGGCGTCACCATGCGTGGGGATCTGTGTGGTGACACGCATTGCGGTTTCCCGCTAAAAAGCAGCAGACAAGTCTGCTACAAGGATCTCTCTGGTCTATGTGCCATTGCCCTCCCTGCCAGGCCTGTGCCGAGCTACTCTCGGGCTATCACTGGGATCCAGGATGCCTTTCTTAGTGGGGTCAGTGGTTGTTTCAGCTAACCAATGAGCACAATCCTTGACGACAGGGAATATCACCAACAGGTTAGATTTAGCAGACACGTTTGAAAGAAACAATTGAGACCTAGTTTGGGTTTAACTGGGTGTCCGTCCCAAGAAAAACAGGAGAAATAATAGCCTTACGAGCTCACAGTGGCCGATCATCTCTGCTCCTCAGTGCGGGAGACAAGGGTGGATGGTGGCTACATTTAATTAATTAAGAAAATGGTCACTCCAATTCAATGTTTCCATTTGACTGCTCCAGAGAGCGGCACCCTAATCTAAATTACACACACTGCGTTGGCAGAGGGGTGACAGGAGCTATAGCTCCCACATCAACATAGAAGCCTCCAGCCCAATGGTGGAAGTTGCTCCCTTACTGTTCCAAGCTCGGAGGGCGCAGCTGTCCAAGGAATGGGCGAGACCAAGTGCCCAGGAAAACGACCGTTCATGTACTCAGAGGTGAGATACTTGCACAACAAACCTTGGCTGCCTAACCAAACATCTGTTCACATACGAGATGTGCCTCCCCCCCACCTGATGGGGGTGCTAATAAAACACTGCTCATCTCAAAAGTGGGCTTGATAGATGCTCCCAATTAGAACTTTACATTCGATTGCCCAAAACCAAGGGGCATCTCCCAGGCTGCAGCAGGCATGCTTTACACTGAAATCCCCATTCGTTGTCCTAACGACAGAGGGGGCACAGGAAGCCCGCGGGAGTGCTCCGTGACTTGGGCTATTCGTCTCGATGTATCGAGATTAGAACAGACCTGACATTTATCACGGGGCTTTGCCATGTGCCCCCGAGCCTTACACCAAAGAGAACCACACTCGACTTGTCAAGAGATGGGCATGACTGGATCGCTCGGGCATCGGAGGGTACGAAGACCCACAGAAACCAGACTCCGCAGAGGTCAAGCCTGCACGTAGTCACACACAAAGCCCAACCCCGCGGAAAAGAGACGCCCGACTTGGGGTTCATCAGCCCCTGCACCCACACGCGCCAGGAAGGGCCTCCCTGTGGACAGAAGGGATGCTCCCTGTCAAGTTCCGCACACGAACGTGCCCGAGGGGAATGGCACTCACCAGAGCTTCCGGATGATCCTCTCCTCTTCGTGCAGGTACTTCTGTCTCTCCTGCTCCACCAGGTGCCGCTGCCTCTGCACGGGATCCTCCAGCCTCCTCATGGTGTCCAGCACTTTGCTGCTGATCTCCGCCTCGGCCTTCTTCACCATTGCCCTCAGCAGCTCCTGGTTCTGCAGCTGGGGACAAAGGAAACCAACCCCACTGAACGCAAGTGCCACAGGCGGCCGGCAACCAGGCGCAGCCAGCGGAAGCTGTCTTTCTTTGGAGAAGAACACAGGGAACTTGGTTTGGCAGGGCTATCCTGAGGATGAAACGAGGGAACGCTTACTACAGAACAGGTGCTCTGGAAGAGTCCCACTTCCTATGGTGTCTGTCACTCAGTTAACCCCCAAACCAGCCTCCTATTATACACAGGAGTCGAGGTGGGCAGCACAGTAGCTGGAGTGACATCACGTTGCTGTGGTTGTGTGTCCTCCAGCGCAGAACGCCTACACGACAGGGTAGAAGAGTCCCATGGGCCTTCCCCCACTGTCATCGCTATGGGAAGCCATCACCAGGCCACACAACTCCCTCCCAGAACTGCTGGTGGGCTTAAAAAGCCACAGAGCTTTTGGCTAGCAGCAGAGTGCTTGACCGCTGGGCCACTGGGGCTTGTGCAGGTCGCTGTGTGTCAGAACTGACTCCGTGCCAGTAAGTTCATACCTGAAATCTTGGAATTCCCAGGAGAGGCCAATGGCTAACAGTCAGCTGCTAACTGGAATGCTGACAGTCTGAGTGCGCCCAGAGGCACCTCGGAAGAGAAGTCGGGGGTCTCCAGGTGGAGCCTCGGCCACAGAAACCCCAGCAGCACAGCCTCCTCTGACACCGCTGGGCCATGCCGACCCAACACTGAACACACGGCAATTTCCCGAGCATCCCAGCCAGCGGACTCTGTACGGACCCTGCACTTGACCTTCACGGGAGGGAGGGAGGGAGGAAGTCTTTGGCAGCTGCTCATCACTCCTGTAAATCACCGCTGGGGGTGGGGTGGGGGTGGCGGGGAGATGCAATCTGACCCTGTTGTTGCCTTCTGAAAACCACAACAGCGAGGTCTGCCGGGTCCCACCACCTGCACAGCACGGGGAGGGTGGGGCGCAGAGGTGGCAGGCTCCGGCATGAGAGGGGCACTAGGATTACGTGGGCTCGAGAGTAGCTGCCTTGGTGTCTCTGTCACCTGGGGCCAGTGACCCATCTCTCCCAAAGGAGAGGGCAGTTCCCATCTCATTGGCTGGCCGTGGAGATTCAGGAGGAGGATAAAATGAAAGTGCTTATGAGAGCCAGGCAGTGAGCACCAGCTATTGTGATCACGGAGCATAAACCTGGGGCCGCGCGTGCGGTTTGCTGGGGAGAGAACCCCAAAAATGTGCCTTTCTCTGCTTACCCGTGGCCGGGGATCAGGCCTGCGAATGGCTTTTGCTAACTGCTTCTCATCATGGTCTTAAGGACAGTATTAGTGCCACTTCGACGAGTGGTGCCAGGTGGCTTTTCCCATGCGAATGGATATTCCTATGCTGTCTTTTTAAAAGATCTCTACAGAAAGAAATTCATCACTGAAAATAAATGTCACAGAAGTTGCAAAACCAGAAAGAAGCGATAATCTCCCTCAGTCTCCTCTCCTCAATCACTGTCCAGCATTTGCTTGAAATGGGAAATACCCTGACTGAAAAATACCATGAGCCGGGTGGGGAAATGTTAGTCCTCCAAGGGACACCTTTGCTTTTTATCATGTCCAAGGCGCTGGGTCGCAGACTGGCCCATTGCAACCAGCAGTTTGACTTCTTGGTCGCTGCTTCCCTTAGCAGAGTCTACACCAACATGACGAGAAATCCCCGAGGGCTTCTACAATGAGAAAAATACTTATCTAGCAGGTCACGTGACTGTGCCAGTTACAAATCTGTTCAGGGACTTCGCTGAATGTGAAACCGGATGGCTGCCTGATAACTCGGGACAGGGTGGCAAAGGGACAGGGTGGCATTCATGGAGAAACGCCAGGAGCACTCGCTATGTGCTGGGCGTCCTCATCCTTTCCCAAACAGCACCACTCAGACTCTGGAAAACAGCGGACTCCAGGCTCACTGTCATCGAGTTGTTCCCCACTCACAGCGACCCTGTCAGACAGGGTGGAACTGCGCCCCTGCGTCCCAGAGACTGTACCCCCACTCCCCGACTCAAGCTGTGGCGTTGGGAGGTTCAGGGCTGCTTGCCGGGCCTGGCTTTCTGTTTCAGTCATGCATTTCTGTTGTGGAGCACCTATCTTTTGTGTGGTGCCTTATCAAACTTTTTGACTTTTTGAAATTTTTTCCCTTGTTATTCAGTGGTAGTTCTTTATTATACAAAGGTGTTTAAAAAGACTGTCTCAAAAAAAAGTCTGTCTCTGGGAAAATAGAATTGAAAACAAAATTGTATTATTTTTTTCCCCATTAACTTTTTGAAGCTTCATCCCCCTTGTCTTAATACAAATAATATGTTAGCTATATAACAACTAAGTTATCCATACAGCAAACAGCATGTTATATAAGTAAGCTGCTAAGTAAAACTTCTTACATATGCACAATGTACATATACACTTCCATTACACATATGTAAATGTTAAATATATAAGGCACTGTCTCCTATTTTCTAGCTTGCATTTGTGTCTTCCGAAGAGCAAATGGGTTTAATACTAATGTACCAATATGTGTGTGTGTGTGTGTGTGTGTGTGTGTGTGTGTGTGTGTCTATGATCTTGGGTTTTTGTGTCCTGCCTAAGATGTTTCTGCTTACTCAAAAACTGCAGTAATTTTTCTTATGTTTCCTTCTATCGTTTCAGACAGTGTTCACTTTATACTGCAGGCTGATTAGTTCACGTCGACTCCTGTACTAGTACTCGTGCTCCGTCTGCACGGGGTCTGCGGTTCTCGGTTAGCACCGCTGTGCGGTTCTGCTCGCAGGGTGATGCGGACTTCATGTGTCGGTTCCGAACGAGTGTCTTCCGTGAAATACTTCGAAGATGCCACCTGTTGTCTTCCAACCAGAAGTCGCTGCAAGTCTTCCCTATGTCTTCCTGTAGATAGCGTGTCCTGGTTCCTCTGGCTGATGCCCGCATGTTAGCTATTTGGTTATGGTGTACCTTGGTAAGGTATGGCTGCCTCCGTGCTTATCCTACTAGGAGCCTATTGAGCTTCTGTGGATTTATAAGCTTCCATCAAATGCCAGCCACTGTTACCATTCTGCTACCACACTGTTATCATCATGCTCCAGCTCACAGAACACAGAGTCCCTGTTTTCACTCTTCTGTCTCTCTAGGCTTTAGTTTGGACCGCTTCTTTGGCCTTCACTGCTGCAGTGCCTGATCTTCCTGCTACGTCCATCTGGATACTGTGTATCTCATATTTTTTCATCTCTACATTCTTCTCTCTTGACATTCATGCTTGCCTTGAAATAATCGAGTGGGGTGATAGTAGCAGACAAATTCCTGGCTGCCGATTCCTTACCACGGAACCAAGTGAGACAGCATACCTGACAACTAGTCTTTTCTCCATGTATCGTGACGTGACTTACCTATTGGTCCAGCTGTGGGGATGCTGGTCTTCTTTACACCGAGCTGTAATCCACACTCCAGGCCGCACTCCTTGATCTTCACCAGCAAGGGCGTCAAGTCCCCTCACTGTCAGCAAGCCAGGCACTGTCATCTGCACATCGCAGGCTGCTCATACACCTTCCTCCACTCCTGATGCTGCAAGCTCTTCTTCATATAAAACAACTTCTCTGATGATTTGCTCAGCATACAGAACAGGTATGGTGAGAGGATGCAGCCCGGAGGCACACCTTCCCTGATTTCCAACCATGAGCTATCTATCCCCTTGGATCAAGAGGCAGCTGTGTGAACAGAACAAGGGCCTACAAAGCCACCAGGCAGGAGTATCATTTCGAAGTCACAACTTCAAAGTCATTAGGAGTGGCATTCCCACGAGCAGGGAGGGGTGCCTCGATTGATTCTGCTTCACCCGTTGGGACAGTTGCCAGAATACTCAGTACTTCTGTGCGTCATTTCCACGGTCTCCTGGAGACCCGTCATTCCCAACCTGGGTTCACCTTAGAATCCCCAGCCCCTGGCCTCCAGTCAAGATCGACAAGGTCAGATGCTGGCAGAGGTGCCTGGATAGATCTTCAAGGAAACTGAAAGGCTATCCAGGGTTGGGAACCATTTCCCTAAAGACTGCTATGGAGAAACACATACGTAGTTGTCACGGAGGCCTGTCCAAATCACAGAGGCCTGACACAACACATAACGCACGCATGCTGCCTGGTCCCGAGTCGTCCTCCCCATCCCCGGCCCCTTCACATGCCTGTTCATCGCTATGCCTTGGTGTCCATGCATCTCCCCAAGGCCCCCCCACTCCACCCTCACAGTCACTGTCCCTGTCCCTGTTGACCTTCTCCAGGCGTGGGTCCCTCACGATGGCCAGGGAGCCAGGCGATATTGTGCTGTGATCCATGAGACTCCCATTGGCTCACTGTTAGGGCGTGCCTGCCAGGCTCTCTGCTAAGGCCATTTTCATCTGCAAGTGACCCTGAGGCCTGCCCATCACGGGGCCCTGCTGGTATTTGAAAGCTCAGTGGTAGGCTCCTGGAACGACAGCAACGTGCCGACCCGCAGACTGACCGATGCATGGTGGTGACTTAGCCTAACCATTCCTGTGACACTGGGCAATGGGGAGTCACCGGAAGGGGACCAGAGTGGGCGTCTTGGTGTGCTGAAGCCCTCCTTCCCTCCCTTGGTGCGCTTTGGGTCCAGTTTACATTTACCCACCCCACGGTGTCTGCATCCACATTATTTTCCTGAGAATCATCCATCAGCTGTGCAAGTGAAATGCTCAAATAGGATATGCTTTATAGTCTAGGGTTTCCCTAGAATTTAATTATCTAATTACGGGAATTGGCTGCCAAACACAAAAGAGTTCATTCGGTTTCACTATTTTATAACACAGTTCAAAGAACATTTGAATTTCTAATTCAGTTTTTGTTCTTTGGAGACTGTCTCGGAGTCTCGCGTGTCTTAGAATCACTGGGCTGCGCTCACTCCCGCTATACAACCACACGTCTGCAGAAGGGCAATGGGGGCGGACACGACTTCATTATTCTCAAGTGTTCTTTTCTCACGTAGACTCTTATTTCGTGGGGGGTGGGGAGGGTGCAGCAGAATGAGCACGTGGTCTACAAACACCGCGTGCTTTCTGTTCCCCTGGGTGTCTGTCCTGTGGAACCACACAGATGCCAACTGCTAATTTCAAGGGCACATCCACTCATTGGTCTTTACATCAAAAAGCAAGCCCAAAACTGTTCCACAGCTCGAGAGGAATTCAGGGGCTGCATGGTGAGGAAAGCCTCGCCAGAGCTGCCTCGGGGTCACACAGCTGTTCGGCACCATGCCATGGCAGTTCAAGGGCTAGCGAGGGCAGGCCCTCCCAACCAGACAGGACCTCGGAAGAGTGCTGGCCGTCAGCAGCCGGCGATGCCAGTCACACACAGCACAGCTTCCCCATCAGATTCTCCTGGGACCTTGCACATAGATACGTGGGAGAGCATCCCTAAGCCAGCACCGGCCAACTTCTCCATGTGGTTTGGAACTACTGCTGGCTGCACGTCCCCCACAGGTCTGATGGAGTGAGTCTTAGCCCCTGGTCCCTCTGCAGGTTTGTAACGAGTCTTTGAGAATGCTAGTAGTCAACAAGACGAGGCCCTCCTGGGGCGGGCCGGGTCCCCTCTCACAGGAGTGGCATCCTCTTAAGAGGAAGCAGGAGGCGGCGATGCCCTCGAGCACCATGACAAGGTACATTTCTGTTGCTTTAAGGCCCCGTGGTGTAGTGCTCTGTTACCTGCAACTCTAGGAAAGCAACCCAAACCACCATGCTCAGGCTACACGCATGGTTTTCCTGTGAGGGTCCAGAGATGAAGCACAACTTCCCAAAGGCCAGCAGATGGCACTACAAGGCAGTGGCCATATGAGGTGGGGCCTCCGCCCTCAAGCCTCCAGGGAAGTTAAGAAGCCTCTCTGGCTTGCAGCCCTGTGAGTGGGCCGCACAGGACTCAATCAAATGGCGTTGACATTACTTCCTGGCATTTAAAACAGAGCGATGTCATTTAAACACATTTCCAGATCTTCCGGGAACACGCAGAAGCACTGGACTCCAGCTCTGTCAGGTGAGAGCTGGATGGAGCAGTGAGCCACTGAGGCACGGTCTCTCCCCCAGCCCGTCTGCAATGTCACGGCTGGTCACTGAGCCAGGCCCGGCCCCTCCGCCCGACCTGTGCATGGCGCCCCACAAGCTGCAATGCCAGGAGGAGCTGGCGCAGAGGAGGGGCCGAGGCAACTCAGGAGAGGATTTAAATGAATTCGTGCGGGACGCCAAAAGGTATCTATCTGGTCTGTTGCCTTAGAAACACAGCAGCCGACTTTGGGGATCTGGGTCCTGGCCGATGTCGGCCTATGACAGCACCCCTGGATCTACAGTGGGGCTCCGGCCCGGTCCTCTGTTCTCCTGTGCAAGTCTAGGTTTTGGAGGGCAACGGGAAATCATGGTCTTAACTTGAACAGAGTTGCCCTTGAGCCGACCAAGTGCACGCTGGAGTGAAACACCCAGGTCGGTCCCCTCCCCAGGAAAGGCTGGCCGCAGGTTGGTGGGACCCTGGGGGTCCCCAGGGCCTCTCTGCATCAGAGCGGGGCGGGCGTGTCTGACAGGTAGTTGCGCACGAGGCGCACACCTGCATGGAAGGTGAGGGCTCCACCGCCGAAGGGCCAAGGATGGGGCTTGGAGTCCTTTCCTGATGGAACCGCAGCAGCTCAGGAGCTGGCGTCTTACTGGCTACCCAGGGCGTTCAGCCCTGCGTGGTCCAGGGCCTGGCTGTGCTGGCCTTTGAAGCAGCGCTTCCATGACAGCTTTCTTGACCTCAGGGGACATGGCAGGCTTAGTGGCCAACACCCCATTCTCAACATCCCATGGGCAGAGAGGTTTGAGCTGGGCAGAGGAAGCCAGATGTGATCTCACTGAGATGTAGGGACCCTCGGCTCTGCCTCCCCTGGTGCCCAGGCACACGCTGTGGTGCTGTGGCAGCTCGAGGCGGCCTGGTGAGCAAGCCTGGCTGTGTGAAGAATCCTCTCCTCCTCCCTGGGCTCCCTATGGGGCCCCATCGTCCCTACCAACGGAAAGGGCCAAGGGAACGACTGGAGGACACGCTGTTTGGATAACGCTCATGGTGGCTTTTTCCTGAGGGATGCAGCTTCTTTTCTAAATGCACATCCCAGGGCCAGCAAGGGCGTGCTCAGTCGGGAGGGGGAGGCGCCTCAGCACTGTCATCAGGAAGTCGGACCTGGGTCTAGCATGTTCCTCTCCTCCAAGACTCCAGACCCTGACTGTGTTTGTGTTTCACATGTACAGGTAAGCACAGCTCACAGGAGTGGTTGCCGCTTGTTCACGGCGGCCATGGAAGGCTCCAGATGAGGATGGTGTAAGAGCAGGAAAGGTGCGGTCATGACTGCTGTCTACTTTTTTCATTACACTCACCACCATGAAGCTGATTCTGACGCTCAGTGACCCTACAGGACAGGGTAGGGCTGCCCCTGTGGGTTTCCAAGACTGTAACCCTTTACGGGAGCAGAAAAACCATCTTTCTGCCGTGGAATGCCTGGTGGTTTTGAACCGCTGACCTTGCAGTTAGCAGACCAGTGTGTAACCACTACATGATACCCCAGGGCCCCACAGGCCGAATTCAGGTCCTCAGAACGGAATGGCAGTGGAGGTGCCCTGGGAGCAAAGGGTGTGGGGGAGGAGCGTGGGAGGAGGGGGGAGCTGAACAGAGTGGACAGTGGAGACAGACAGAGCCCCCCGCGGTGCGGTGAGGGCGCCCGCTGACCTGGAGCTGCCGCATCTGCTGGAGCTGGAGCCGGAGCTGGGCCACGCTTCGCCTCACGTCAAGCAGGCTCATGTGGACGGCCGACGAGCCCACGGGCGGGGGCTGGCTGGGCGGCACTGTGGACTCCAGGCCGCTGGGCGCCTTCCCTCCAGAAACATGGGGGCTCCCTAGGGCAGAAGCACAGCAGAGCATCCAAGGTCAGAGAGGAAGGTCTCGGCTCTAAGTTCCATCCCAACGCAGTGCACTGGCCATGCTAAAAGCAAAAGCCCTGTCCTTCCTTCCACTGGAACATTGAAAAAAGAAGGAATCATGCAGTTTTTCTCCATGGCAACTGGGGACTGGGCTAATACAGATGGAGTGACCGCTCCAGCAGTGCTGTGGCACGCAACCCCGAGAGCCGTGTTCTGGAAGGTGAATGCAGGAGGCAGACAGGTCGCAGAGCAGCACGGTGCAGCTTGACCCCGTGAAAGGACCTGTCTGTCCCCTTCTACAGAAAGGCTAGTGTCCTTTAGACACGTGGGTGGCACAGCAAAAACAAAGCCAGAAAACCTGAGTAAGTGCTCAGAGTATCTCCAACTGAACTGTGCCCCTTGAGTTCCTCCGCTTTGCTTAACTACCTTTTGTATTTGAAAATCTGCCCCATGGGGCGCTATTGTTTGATAATGACCCAAACCAAGCTCACTGCCATGGAGCCAATTGCGCCTCATGGTGACTCTTTCGGGCCAGCTACAATCCGCCAAAGGTTTGCTTGTGGATTTCGGGGACTGTCACTCTACAGAGTATAAAGTCTCATCTTTCTCTCTTGCAGTGTACTTGTGGTTTCAAACTGCCGACCTCACAGTTAACGGCCCAGATTGGAACCACTGTGCCACCGGGGAATTGGATTTTAGAGCTGTAGGACCTAACATGTAATGCTTAATGGGCGATTTTCCACCAGGCAGGTGCTATTCTAAGAGCACATATCCTCGGTTCCACAGAAATTTGTTCCATCCCCAATTAAGAGGCTGAACAGCTTGTTGAATCCCTTCACGTTCTGCAAACCAAAAGGATGGCCTGGGGGGACCTCTTGTAGGAAGAGGGCTGGCCAGCTGCGCAACCGGCAACTGAAAGAGCTCCTTCCTCCGGGTGCCCAGCCACCCTGTGCGCTTCTCCATGGATCTGCGCCTCATGCGGCGCAGAAGGCCCTCTCGGAGGCCCGGACTGGACCAAGCTCGCTTTAGAAATGATTCTAGAGAATCTCAAGTAGGACCTGACGGACCAGGAGGCTTTCAAAAGCCCCAAACCAAACTCTTGGTCCCCGAGCGATTCCAACTCCCAGTGACACTGCAGGCCAGAATGGAACTGCTCCTTGGGTTTTCCGAGCCAGAATCTCCCTGGAGACAGGGAGCCTCACCTGTCCCCGGAGGAGTGGGTCTCATGTGCTGGCCATGCAATTAGCCCAATGGGGACACTCTGTGTCTCCCAATGCCCAAGCCAGACCCGGATCTGAGGCTGAGTAGCCCTGTAAGACAGAGTCCAACTACTCCCTGGGAATCTTAACGCGAGGACGGTCTCATCTTTCTTCGGTGGAACCAACGTCTCAGAAAAACAAGCTCAATGCCAACTCTAGTGACCTTACCTATGGGGTCGGGTCGAACTGCCCTGCGAGTTTCCAAGACTGTAACGCTCTATGGGAGTAGCATGCCCGGCTGGTGGTTTCAAACTGCTAACCTTGACATTTACAGCCCAACTTGTAATGCACAACACTAGGGCTCTTTGTGGAAGGAAAGGAAAAGCGCTAATTCCTCTCTGCTACTGTTTGCCATTGAGACAATTCCGATGCTTATGCGCAAGCAGACTGCCCCACAGGGGCTTTGGGGCTGTAAGCTTTACGGGAGCTGGTCACTAGTTCCTTGTCCCTTGTGTCCTCTCAAGGGGTCCCAAAGACCCGCCTTTTTGGTTAGCAGCCGAGGGCTTAGCTGTTACGCCTCCAGGAAATCGCCTCCTCACTCTGCTACCAAAGCTACTCCTCCATAACTTAATCCAGTCAATTGTGTATTCCCATGGATGGACCTAAGTGCGACTTTAATGTGCATGTCCAGGCAGTCCCACATCACCAGCATCTGATTCAGGTACAGCTCAAAGTTAATGAATCAACCCACACAGCTTATTCTATTTAAAATTCCAGATACACAAAAGGATTCGTCGTAATAACTGGGCACCACTCTGTGGTGCTCATCAAAACACTGTTATTAGAAGGCTGATGGTGCCCGGCTATCGAGATCTATAGCGTCTGGGGACTTAAAGGCTTGAAAGTAAACAAGCGGCCATCTAGCCCAGAAGCAACAAAGCCCACATGGAAGCAGCACACCAACATGTGTGATCATGAAGGGCCAAAGGGACCAGGCTTTAAACACCAAAGGTGGGGAGGGGGAATCATATCCTCGTCAATGAGGGGGCCATGTGATGGAGACCCAATGCCCATCTCTAGACAACTGGACATACCTTGCAGAGGGGTAGTGGGGAGACGAGTCACTTATGGTCCAGTATAGCAATAACGAAGCCCACAACTTTCCTCTGGTTCTTGAACGCTTCCTCCCCCCAACTACCAGGACCCCAATTTTGCCTTGCAGACCTGGTTGGACTAGATGATGCACAGCGGTACAGACGGGAATTGGGAACGCAGGGAATCTAGGACAGAGGAACCTCTCAAGACCAGGGGTGACAGTGGCGATACCAGGAGGGAAAGGGGATGTAGTAGGGGGGAATGGATCACAGGGAGCTACGTGTGGCCTCCTCTCTGGGGGACGGGCAGCGGAGGGGTGGGTGAAGGGAGACGCCAGACAGTGTAATATAAGATACAATAATAATTTATAAATTATTAGGGGTGCATGGGGGAGAGGGGAGGAGGAAGGGAAGGGGAGGGGGGAAAAAGGAAAATTAGAGGCTAGCGAATTTTGGGAATGATGAGGGCAACAAATGTATAGATGTGCTTTACACAATTGATCTATGTATTGTGATGAATTGTATGAGCCCCAATTAAAAAAACAAAAACAAAAAAACAACACTATTATTATTACTGCTATTGTTACTTTACTGAGCTAAAGACGTTATGAAAGTGTAATGTTTTTATGTCTACAAAGGCACGCTATATATACTATGCACTAAGACAAACACTTGATTAACCGATGTTAGATCTGAGCTGTCTCTGAGTGTTCCAGCTTGTGTTCAAATTCAACTACAGACACTTGAAGACCGGAGCTTGTTTGCCATCAGAGGGCTCCTGGGTCCCACTCTGAACGACGGAGCATGAGGTCTGGCGGCTCCGGGCTGGCTGATTCTGGACAAGCTGTGGCTTCAGATGAGTCACTTCACCTCTCTGAGATTCACTTTCCTGTCATGGAGACATCTTCCTGGTGGCGTTACATGCACTCAGTGCCATAAACACAGCATAAAAGCACGGCGGGTGCCTTCCCTTCTTCTGCCTCCACCTTTGGCGCATAATGTCATGCTCCTCTGTGATTCCACTTACTCGTCTGCGGAACAGGGGTAGGAACTCCTGTGTTGCACATTTCCTCCAGAGGCTGGACGCATGACTAAGTTTGGAGCACTGTCTAAGGCTGCCAGGCCCTCAGCCCCTATCTTGTACAGGTGCAGGAGAGTGAGAAAGGCCAGACTCCCTAGAGACGCAGGAATGCACACACGTTGCTGGTGGCATTGCAATGGCCCAGCCTTTCAGAGGAGCGAGTGGGCCACCTGGTGTGAATGCTCTTAAACCACTCACCCCTTTTGATTTATGGATTCCATCTTGGGAAACAGATCCCAAGGAATCTATCTATCCTTTCCTTCGCCCATGCACAAAAAAAGAGGCATTTACAGGTTTTTTTGGAAAGAGACATTAAAACACCCACATTATTTTAAGAGGCAGTAGGATCTCTTCATACAGAAGAACTGGAGAGGCAGGTATGAGGAATGACAGGTACACGGACTACGTGGCTATTGGCCGTGTGTGTGTGTGTGTGTGTGTGTGTGTGTGTGTGGGTGTGCGCGCGCACGCAGGTCTTCTCATCTGGAACATGGGAATTAACAACTGAATCTATCCTCTCGGAGGCTGAAGTCAGAAGGTTAATTGATGCAAAGCACTTGGAAAAATGTCTGGCATGTAGGAAACACTCAGCGTGTGTTTCTGATGAGTTCATGAGACATGTGGACGGGAACCAGAACAGCATGCAAACCAGCAAGGGCCTCTTCGTTAACACACTGGAAGTGCACATTGATTATTACTGGAATGGAGTGCAGTGGGAGGCAAGGTTTTATGGTCTATTAGGCTTCTGGTCCACGCTCGCGCCCCTGCTCCCCAGCCCAGGTTGATAGATAAGGAAAAAGGTGAGTGAAGAGATATCATCAAAACAGATTGGCAACTACTCCAAAGACCATCCTGATAATTTCCAGGCTAAGTCTGGCGCCAATTATGGCCACTTGAGTGATTTCTAAGTTGAGTAAGAAATCAAACCAGCATGGAGAGAGATGGGAGTTAGGCCTGCTCCTCTGACAGCCGAGCAGACTGGGTGCAGCCAGCCCTGGGCACTGCCCTGCCCAACAGAGGTCTACTCTCAGGTCTAAAATTCTGACCTCTCTACCACGCTGCACAGAATGAGTCTATGCGGCTTCCCCAAATTAGAGGTTTTACCCAACGTGCCATGTTTCCAGTCTCATTTTGTAGCAAAGCATCTTCCTGCTAACAATTTCTCTTTCTAATCGGACTGGAGGAAAGACTTCCCGAGAGAGGCTTACCTCTCGTCTATAGGATACAACATTCGATTCTGGGAAGGTACCATTCCCCACCGAGAATGTAGCTGGGTCCCCCAGAAAGGCTGATTTTCACAAGCGGGCTCTGGTTCAAGTGTACCTTCTTCTGTCTGGCCCACCAGGTGCTCACCTTCTACGCTGAGCACTTTGTGGCCACTCCCCCAAGCAGCTGGGCTACAGTCCTTCCCCTGAGCAGCCTTCCGTGCCTTCCCATCACATCTAGAACTCTATCTGATTCCTGACCTTGGCTACATCTGATGGTTAACACTCAATTCTGTACCTCCTACCACCCAACACGTATAACATTACTTGCTCCATGTTATGGGTTCAATTATGTCTCCTTTCAATTATGTATTAAGTTTCTGGCCCTAATAGCCGTGGGGGTGATGCTGTGTTAGGGGTTTTCCTTCTGTTGTGTCATGTTTATAATGGATCTTAAACCTGATCACTTCTGAACTATTTAAAAGCAGCCCAGACACACACACACACACACACACACACACACACACACACACACACACACAAAGGGAATGGTGTCAGATGAAAGAACACACACACTTGCCAGATGCATCTACAGGGCCAGAACTCCAAGGGCAGCCGGCATCCACCAGAAGCTGAAAAAGACATAGAAGGGCTCTTCTGCTAGACCACGTCCTGGTCTCAGACGTCTAGCCTCCTCATGCAAGATACAAGCCTCTGATACGTGAAGACACTCACTTGTCTTACGTTTCGTTATGACAGCCCAGGAACCGAGCGATTCCAGGTAGTGCTCCTATCACTACGCGAACTGGGTCTGAATGATGCCACCGCTTCTGCCCAGGACCCCATCTAGACCCTAGACTCACTGCCACCGCGCGACCGCCTATAGGACCGGTAAGAAAGGGCAGAACCGCCCTTTGGGTTTCTGAAACGTGCAACCTTTATGGGAATCGACAGCCTCATCTTTCGCCTGCGGAGCAGCTGGTGAGTTCAAACCACTGACTCCGTGGTTGGCAGTTCACTGTGTAGCCCCCTAAGCATCCAGGGCTCCTTGACCAGTCCTGGGCACAAAAAAACGGTTGCGGGCTCCATGCCGGATAAGGCAGATCAGAGAGTGAGTGAATGCCAGCCTGTGTGATCATGAGGAGTCGACAGGATCAGGTATCAAAAGATCCAAAATGAACAACTGTATCGATGAGAACGAGGGGGTTTGGAGTGAAGACCCAAAGTCCATCTGGAGACAACAGATGTGGGACATTCCCCCACAGAAGGGTTATAAGGAAGGGATGATTCCACCAAGGTGCAGTATAGCACCAATGAAACACATCATTCCTCTAGTTCCTGAATGCTTCACCCTGCACCCCAATACCATGACCCAATTTTACATTGTAAATCTGGCTCGACTGGAGAAGACACATTGGTACATACAAGAGCTCTCGACATATAGAATTCAGGACAGATAATCCCCTCAGGAACAGCTGTGGGAGAAACAACATCAGGAGGCTAGGAGGATGGTCAGAGGGGGAAGGGTGAAAAAGGGGGAACCCATCACAGGTTGGATCTGTAGCCCCTCCCCCACCTAAGGGGATGAATAACAGAAATGTGGGTGAAGGGAGACAAATGGCAGTGTAAGGTACGAAAAAACATTAACAATATGTAATTGATCACGGATTCACGCGGGTGGGAGGGCTAAAAGAGCTGATACGAGGGTGGCAACATAGGTACAGCTACGCTGGGTACAATCGATGTACGGAATGTTATAAGAGCTGGAAGAGCCCCTAATAAAACGATGAAAAATAAAGCAGGGAGTGAATGAACGGACCGTGGAGAGCGCTCCCCGCCAACGACGGCGGGCTTTCAGCAGGCGCGAAGCATGACGCGCAGGGACGTACCGCGTCTCGGAAATCTCACCGACGCGTTAGGGGAGTCACACTGCCCCGCCGTCCGCCAGCTGGCTTTGGACACTCGCGGGTGGCCCGTGAGGGCCCCCCAGGGAGGCCCGCACAGCAGCCTCCACACGGGGCTCAAACGTGTCAGCGGCTCCGGACCAAGCGGCGCTTCACTGCGGTCCACGAGCACACCCCGTGCGTGCGTGTGCGTACGTGCGTGCGTACGTGTGTGCGTACGTACTTGCGTCAGCGCCGGCATGATGGGGGTGGGGGTGGGGACGGGCAAGGACAGCGGAACAAAGGCCGCCCGCAGGTGGCAAGAGACTTACCTGCGCTGTCGGTGGCGGTGGCGCTGTGGCTCTTGCTGGCTGTGGGTTTCGTCGTCTTCTCACTGAAGAAAGGGAGAGAGAGCGTCAGGTGGACCGTGTCCAAGAGGCCCCGGCTTCCTCTCCCCACCTTCCGCCCAGCGTTCTGTGCAAGTGGCGAGGCTAGCGATGGCATTAAGCAATGACGGCAACACGCGACATCAGCGCCACTGGTGACCGGGCTGGAGAAGGCTTCCCAGGTGTGCACGGCCGGCCGGCCGGCCAGGGACGCAGCGGAGCGCGGCCATGAGGGGAGGGTGCGGTGGAGACACGGGGAGGGTGGGTGCACGGCAGCCGCAGGCACTGGGAAGCCCCCTGATCCTTCTTGGGCCGAAGGGTTACCTTTGACCAAGAATCACCCGGAACACAAAACACACAAGACACACACGCAAACCCATGATTCATAGAGATGTGCATACAGTTTCAGCCGTGAAATGATCGAAAAGAAAACGGATTTGAATGAGTGGGTTCCTTTAATGATTAAAGAGAAACAGATCGAATTATGGTTTTGTTGGCGAGATTTCATTTTTCTTTTCTCTCTCCTTTTTTTTCTTTACCTAGATGCATCTTTGCTATTACTTGTAATTGGCCCTTTAAAAAGCGCAGACTGAACAAGGCCAGTTAAACTGGCAATCTGTTTCTCCATGGCTTGCATCCTCTCTCTGTAAAACAAGAGAATCATTTGTTAAAGCTATATTGACTTTCACACTGGTTTTTCTGGCTGACTGATGACCGCTGCCGGAGGATGACAAACGGTGCCACCCACCAGGCTGCCAGAGTTCACTGCAGCCTGGCTCCCAGAGCCTCGGTTGAGGTCAAGATCGGTTCACTGGAGTTCAGCTGTCACGCAGTGACCTCGAGACAAGGGACTGCACAGCCCGGAAGAGGTCTCCTGGAACCCCGGAAATAATTCAGTTTGCATGTCACGTGCCTTTTGAGCCTCCCGGGCCCAGCTTTTTTAGGGTATCCACCAGTTGCGATGGAGGCAACACTGACTTCCGCATCTCCCCCTACCCCCCAAGCCGGCCAGGGCAGAGCTGTGCTCCACAGGGCTCTGAATGGCTCCGTTTTCAGAAGTGGCTGCCAGGCATTTCTTCCAGGGTGCCTCGGGGTGGACCTGAACCTCCAACCCCAGGCTCTGAACCAGGTTACAATGGATCAGGCTCAGCGGACAGAAACGAGGGCAGCGGACGTGCTGCACAGCATCTGAATCAGAGACGGTGGCCCCCGGCTCAAAGTGGCATGGCCGCTGACATCTGTGAGCAGATACTACCTGCTTCCGATTTGGCTCAAAATCCAGCGGAGAGAACTGGACACTACACAGTGTCTTCGCTGTCCCTGTTGTGTCCGCTGGCTGGGGCATTTTCAAAGCAGCCTAAAGCCCCGCTGCAACTTTATGGTTGGCAGGTGAGCACTTGAACAGTGCACACCACCCAGGAAGTCCATCCAGGGTCCCCAGAGCGCCGACAGAACAGCGCTGTCCACACCTGCGCGCCTCAGCAGAGCACACCCAACACTCCTCCTCAGCTCGTGGATTCGTGTGTCAGCGGCGAGAGATTGGTCCCGGGTGTTCTGAAACATGTCTTACAGCCTAAGGGCAACACATGTCTTATTCAGGCCATGGAAAATATGATTGAAATTAGCGTATGATTTCAGAGACAGGATGCTCCATCGAGTGTCCTAGAAATGTCAATCTAGAGCTTTCCACAGGATGACGCAGGGAAACAATTGTCCCTAACAACGTGGTCACCTTCAGACAGTACTGACAAATGTCCCAAATAGTTACTATGTAGGGCTCTTCAATTAATCTACTTTCTGATTTCAAGAGTTCATGCTTTTTTTTTTTTTTTTTTTTTTTTAAATCTTAAAGTAGAAGGCTCCACCATTGTGTGGAGCTCTATGAAAGTAAGGCATGCAGTGTGTGGGTAGCTCAACTCGGAGGCACAACCTCTCCTTTGGGAAAGCGTGACAACGCTGCTATGGAATCCAAAGGGGGAACATGTATTGCCTGGTACAAAGTTGCTAATTAGACACTTTTGACCTAGTTTCTATGCAGTCTCATTGACTGGGTCTGGGTGCTCTAGACAAGTGGGACTTTATTCTGTTCAGGCAGACAACATCCCTCAGAGGCCACACCAGAAGGGCTCGATGTGGAAAGCCCACTAAGTGAACTGAGTTTCACCTCTAACGTACCTGTATCCTTGGACTTAAGGCTGAAATTCCCTAGTCTGAGAAGTAGATGACTGCTGGCCCAAGGTTATAGAACTGCTGATGTTGGGCTTAGGGTCAAATCTCCGGCTATGACAATGCCCAATGAATGGTGGCCCAGGACTACCACAGACTCACTACTTCACTGTCCTTGCCTCATCGTGACGTGCACTGATGTTGGTACGCATGACTCTGCTGCTGTGAATGAATATTAGTCACCCTTTTGCTCTTATCACCGATCCCCAGTGTTCGCACAAACAGCGTTCAGTCGCTTAAGAGTTTAATTTGTATAAGTCAACAGTTCCTGTATATTTGTATAATTTCCTTTTCTCCGTGTTTTAAATTCTATCACTGGCTAAATTTACGATACTGTCAATGTGTGTGGTTATGCATTGGGATACTAAACTCAAGGTCAGCAGTTCAAAACCAACCAAAAGCTGTGTGGGGCGGAGACATGAGGTATTCTACTCCTATGAAGACTTGACAGTCTCAGAGACTCAGAGGAGTAGTCCCTCCCTGTTCTGTGGGGTCACTTTGGCCAGCACTGACTCGATGGCAGTGAAAGTGAGGGCCCCAGAGGGACGACTGCTGATGTTCTCTAACAGAAAATGACAGTGCTGCCTCTCAGGCGAGCCAGACATGGATATGACCATAGATATATTCATGGATTGGGGGCTTGCACTTAGTTCTAGCTCCAACCTACTAACAACGAATTATTATAACACGGCCCTGCTTGTTGCTCACCCGTGTGAAGAGATCACTGAAGAGATGGGTGTTATAGAAAAGTAAGGTGAAGAAATTAGGTGGTGCCCAGTTGTCAGAAGGAATAGGGAGACTTGGGTCTAAAGATCTTCAAATAAGCAGCCACCAAAGTGGCGCATCAACTAAGTCCACATCAAAGAAGCAAACCAGCCTGTATGGTCCAAGTTCTGTAAATAATAAAATCCAAATCCACAGGAGGGAAGGGTATCAGAGCTTAAATTGTGAGCACCTGGTTTGCAGAAGGCTCTCGATGACAGTGGAAGCCCCCAATCCATTTGCAGGGTCTACACATCGATTACATCTCTGGTGAATTCCCTCTGATCAGAGCTGAGGACCGTGAACAGTATTGTTATCTGAGAGCATTGCAAAGTCAGTTATGGCCTAGATAGGTTAAAATGCAATACTTTATCATTTGATCTCCTCTTGACCCATTTTAAAGTTGTTCAGTTAAACCAAAAAAAATGTGAAAGGCAAATATAAGTGGATTTAAGCCCCTGGTGAATCCACTCTATCAACCAGGGACATGAATAGCCTTACTGTCATGTAGAATGCACTGGGTAGTAGATGCACTTAGGGTAAAATTCAGCACCCTTATCCATTTTTAATTTGATTTAGTTTGTAATATTGTCTGATTTCTTTTCAATTGAGGTTTTCAAAATCTGGTTTACATTGTTATGCTTGTTATTTTTTAAAATGTTTTTCTGTATATGAGCTCCAGGATAGGTAAATCTATATAGAGAGTAACTGGATTAATGGTTTCTTGTGGGTATCAGAGGGAAGACTGGGGGGAAATAGGGAGCTAATAACGAGCACAGGAATGAAGAACATGTTTTGAAACTGGCTGCATGATCACCGTACAACTCTTCTGGATGTGACCTAGCGAAATGCACGCCATGTGGATTATATGCCAAGAAAAGCGTTACATTTTAAAACACTGGCTAAAATGGCAAATGTTGAGTGATACATATTGTATCCCTCTCTCACACTCAAAACCAAGAAAGGAGAAAGAGGGCGACAGGTAAAACAGGGGGTGTCTCACCTGCCACTCCAGCCCTGGAGAAGTTGGCCTTATGAGATCACCACAGCGATGGGAATTCCTACACTACGGGAGTATATTTGCCCACCCTGGCTCTGAAATACAAGCCACCTGCTTTATGGAAAAGTAACTGTGGTTTCTCAGTTAAAAAAGAGGAAAGAAGCCTTGGCAGGTTAGGTTGATCTCCTCTTGAATTTTATGGTATCCACGGATATTTTCGAGGGCAATTTAGACCAAACACAAGAGTTTGCCCTGTTTTCTCTGCTTTTGAAGCATAACCCTTAGCAGTAAATGAAACACGGAGCTTAAACTTCTGACTTCAGAATTCCATGCTTATATTTTTCCCTTCCATTTATAAGAAGGTAGTTCCATGATAATGCTGAGCTTCCCAGAAGTAAGTCATGGCAGTGTGCAAAGCTGATCGGTTGTCCCAAGGCATAGATAGCATTGACGAATCATACATTATTCTTCTAGTCCCGCCCCCCCCTCCCCTTCAATACCATGACCCAGTTGTACCTCACAAATCTGGCTAGACCGGAGAACACACACTGGTACAGATAAGAACTCTCAACACATGGAATTCAGGACAGATAAACCCCTCGGAACAGTAACGGGAATAGCAGTATCAAGAGGGTAGGGGGATGGTCAGGGAGGGGGAAGGATGAGAAAGGGGGAGCCCATCACAAGGTTGGATATATAGCCCGCCACCAAAGAAGACAAATAACAGAAATGTGGGTGAAAGGAGACAATAACAATCTATCATCGATCAAGGAGGATACGTGAGGGTAGGAGGGTAGGGGAGGGAGAAGAGTTTTTCCAAGGGCTCAAGAAGAAAGTGTTTTGGAAATGATGGCAACAGATGTACAAACATGCTTGCTACAATTGATCTATGGAATGTTATAAGAGCTGTAAGAGCCCCCAATAAAATGATTTTTTTAAAAGTTGATTGGTTGTAAATGCAGGAAGGAAAAAGATAGTACTTTCAAACCCAAATGTTCATATCATGCCCTCTGAATCCTA